TACACGAGAGAGGAGACGGTAAGCCTCTCTCTGTTATATTAACACGTATCAACAACAGAGGAAACAGTAAAGCTAGAGACAGAGACAGGGTAAGATAGACAAGAAAAGACTTATAGAGACAGAGACAAAGCAGGGGGCAGTAGAGGAAACGGAGAGACAGAGACAGGGACATAGAGACGGAGACGGAGACAGTATATGTTGCGGTGTGGATCCCGAAGCAAAGAGAGACAGAAAGGGGGAGGGGGAAAGAGCAAGGAGGGGCAAAAAGGAAACAGGGAGAGGCAGACAAAAGGAGGCACAAGGAGACAGGGAGAGACAGGCAGACGGAGAAAGGAGACATGAGGAGACAGGAGACAGGAGCCATATACACCTATACAGGGCCAGAAGCTTAACAAAGGAGACAGAGGGAGACAGATAGAGGGACAGAGACGATACAAAAGAGGCAGAGAGCAAACAGAAGGAGACAGAAGGAGACACATGGAGGCAGAGGGAGACAGAAGGAGACAGAAGGAGGCAGAAGGAGACAGGAGAGTTTGCCTGTTCCTGCCCCCCTCTGCTGCCTCTCTGCGTCTCCCTCTCCTTAAGTAAGCATCTCCAGTGCCTCTAATATCATAGCCGTGCATGCAGCAGCAGCAGCAGCAGCAGCAGCAGCAGCAACAGCAGCAAAGACGATGGGGCCCCCGCATGCAGGTGTGGGGCCCCACAGCTGAGTTAGCTGCATGGGTCTGCATGCTGGGGCTCGTTCTATATAATTTTAGTTTTAATGTATATTTATTATATAGATAATATATTTTCTGTTTTTATTTTATATATATTTTAATTTATTGTTTTTCTATTAATTTTATTTTCTAAAGAATACCGCTAGAGCCCCAAGCCACCCAAAAGGGGACAGGAGACACCTGGCCTTCTGCTGCAGTCTCTTGTATCTGCTGCGGCTGCCGCGGCTGCGGCGGCTATTTAATTTGTTTAATTAAATAAAATAAATAAATATATAGTAGCAGCATATAACAGCCGCAGTATCTCCTATTAGCTGTCTCCTCCAGCACCCCTATAAACCTGCGAGCGTCTGCTGCTGCTGCTGCTGCTGCCTGTCCCCGCTGCCTTCTTCTTGCTACTGTCTCTTCCTGCCGTCTCCTCTTCGCAGCCGGCAGAGTCATTGTCTCTCATCTGTCTCCTCCTGGAGACAGGAGTGGCCCTAGGGACAGCTGGGCCCCCAACCAACAGCAGCGGCAACAGCAGCAGCAACAGAAGCTGCAGGGTCAGCAGCAACAGCAACAGCAGCACCAGCCGTAGTAGCAACAACAGCAGCAGTAAAAGCCGCAGCAGCACCAGCTGCAGCAGGAACAGCAGCAGCAGCAGCAGCAGCAGGTAAAGGCCCCAATGGAGTCTCATCTGCTGCAGCAGCTGCATGACGGCCTAAGACAGGGGAACAGCACGAGAGGCAGACGGGGGGGTTTGGGGGCTGTCTCCTCCCAGCGGCCTGTACAGAATACACATATAGTGTTTACTGATGAGGGGACACCTGCATGCAAGAGGTTAGCTGTTTGTCTCTTTCTCTCTGCTTGCTGCTGCTGCTTCTGCTTCTGCTGCTGCTGCTGCTGCTTGGTGTCTCCTCTCCCGTTGCGGTGGCATGTTTTCTGTTTTCTTGTCTCCTTTGTCGGTTTCTGCTGTCTCTTTCTGCTGTCTCCTTTCTGTCTCCTTGAGGTGTCTCCTGTCTCTTACTGC